TTTTTTTTAGAGATAATGTAAAGAATGCAATTTGTGCAGAACCATGGTAGCTGCAGCTTTGTTTCATGGACTAACAAGAATTAGAAGTATTGGATGGGTTGTTTGAGTGTTTTTGAGCAATCACCCAATCCATCTGTGCTTTTTATATTTGTGCTTGTTTCTCAGAGGATACTATTTTTGTGTAAAGAGATTTTGTACAAATTGCAGAGACCTTGACCAGAAGAGAAAAGGAAAGGACCGTATCTTATTCTTCTGTTGAAGAATCTTGAAGATCTCAAAATTGCCTTGCTATGTCAGCAGCCTAAGTTAATGATGGCAAGGAATTTAGTGGGCATTTTTCATATCATTCCACAAGACGCAGCATGGATTTCCTCATTAAAAAAAATACTCAGTGTACAGTACACATATGAACACGTTCAGACTGAGTCAGTAAACCTTGGTACCAGTTGAAGGAAGGGGGAGGATGGATACGCAGGTATTAAAACCACCAGACCCAGTAGGATCTAGCTTTCTGCCCTTCCAGCACTGCTTGCCTGGGGGCTTGCCTATCTATCTGGTGACCTGGAGAAGCAGCTATTCCCCTAGAACTTCAGCCAGCACTCTGAGACTGAGCAGCTTTAGCCACTGGGGCCCTCTTTAGGAGGAAGAGAACGGACCCATGTGAACTATAACTCTGTGGACTGATAAAGAGCATGGAAAATACTGAGAGCCTGACTCTTCCCCTTGTCTTGGGATAGCTTTATAATTTCAGAGAGTGAGGCAGACATACCAGGTGGCAGGTACTGAGGGACAGGGAGTGAGTAGAAAGAACTGCACAGTCCAAGTGACCTGCTCTGTTCCCCTTCAACTAGCATGCTGCTTCAGGTACAGTGGGGGCTTGACTTGAGAACTTAATCCGTATTGGAAGGCGGTTCTCAAATCAAAAAGATCTCAGGTCAAATCTGCATTTCCCATAGGAATGCATTGAAAACCATTTGATCCGTATCTGCTCTTTTCCGTCCATAGAAACTAATGGGAAGCTGCTATTCCTCCTTCGACCACTAGAGGGGGATATTTTGTTTCTTTTTTTCTTAGGTCAAGAAAGGTTCAGGGAAGGCAGGGAAAATACAGTCCAGGCAGTACAGTGGACCCTTGACTTACAGAATTAATCCGTATTGGAACGGTGGCTGCAGGTCAAAAAGTCTGTAGGTCAAGTCTCCAGTGAGCTACAGTGCATTGAAAACCGATTAATCCCATAACAGGCCGTTTTTGTTCCATTTTGGTTTTTTTCTGGTCTGTAAGTCAAATCTCAGTCTGCAAGTCAAATCTAAATTTTGCAGCCAGAGAAGTCTGTAACTCAAAAAGTCTGTAAGTCAAGCCGTCTGTAAGTCAAGGGTCCACTGTACAGTAAAAGTCTCTTTCCTATAACCTCCATTCCTATAAAATTTTCCTATAACTTTCATTGCCATAAGATTCAATGGTTGGTCTTCCCTTCCTTCATGTGTGAATTTATGGGGAGGAATAATATTGTCCTTCAGTTCAGGCAACACAATGGCTCTCATCTCCTCTGGCAATAGACTAGTAACTTCACCTCCTGCACACCAAGCTCTTTGTTTTTAAAAAATAAATGTCTGCTTCACAAATGGCTTCAGGAACCCCTGGGAGAATACAAAGTTTAGTCCTAGTTTTCCTGATGGTGGCCTACTAACCCAACGAAGCCCTTACACTCATCAATCATAATGAAATTATTTTGACTTTACTCCAAACTCCTCCAGAACAAGAAGGGACAAACATTTTGTCTCATTTTGATTCTGACCGGAACTAAACAACAAACAAACAAACAATGAGAATTTTAAAATCATAAATTAAAATTTAGAAAAAGGAAAAGGGACAGATTTTCTCTTCCGGCCTGTCCACTTGAAGATCAGTCCAATACTGATTCTGTACTGAATCATTGCCTTCATGTGCGGTCACTTTTCTAGTGAAATTTGTAAAAAGGAAAATGTATGCTGAGGTGTGTATTTGTGGAAATATGTATGTATTAAAGAAAGATGGGGAAAATTAGCTTTTTGGACTACAACTCCCAGAATCCACAAACTAGTATGGCTAATATGCAATCTTGTTCCAGTTTTGAGTGGAAACAGTGGACTGCTCCTGCTCTGAAGTAAGATGTTGCCCACCCTTACAGCTCTTAAACTGGTCATTGTAGGTGCCTGTTTGTGGAGGAGTCACTCATTAACAATTAACATTTTGCCTTTACAAGTGTGTTTTTTCTCTTGAATCCTTGCCAAACTAGAAAGAAGTTAGTGAAAATAGGAAGGATCAAATTCTTGCTTCAGGGATGCGAATTCAGCTTTAGAACAAGGGATCTAGAAGAACATTTGCATTGCGCCTTCATAATGTTTAATCTTGACAACTAATGACATAAATAGAATGAGCTATTATAGCTTATTACATATAATCATTCTTGTGATCATACTTGGGGGACTAGAAAAGGAATAAGTGGGCCTCTTTAATTGGTCTTGTTCAAAGATGTTCTTCACGTATTTAAAATATCATACAAGGTTCTTTGTTAAGATACAGTGTTCAGAATTTTTTAATAAAGGAATATCAGCAGTATTCTTACATTATAACATTTGCCAGTGAGTCACCAGTTTTCTCTGGCAAAGGGCATAACTGTGGAAGTGAAGTTAGCTTAATTAATTAATTGCTTTAGAGTGTATCTTCACTTAGGTTACAAGTCTTTTACTTTTAAAAGGTAACCAATGCTCCAGTGAATTATGTGCAGAGGCAACAAAGTGCAAGTAAAGCTGATTTTTATTATGTCTTTGTTCCCACTGCCCTCTATGAGTTCTTCCATTAAATTCCCAAACCTATTTTTCAGATACGCAGTGAGTGTAAATATCGACTTTCTGGTGCAGTACTTGGAAAAGACAGAGGAAACATAGACCAATAAACTCTCTTGGCATGCATAGCCTTACTGCAGAAGTGTGCATGCATTACTAGGTAGCATCTAACATCTTACCTTATAGTGGAACTAGATGTAATAACACAAATGTGTCACTGAAAAGGTCAAACATGCATTCAAGTCCTTTATCTTTACCCATAATACATAATTATGGAAACACATATGGGATTATTATTGGATAACATTAGAGACGGTGCATGATGAACATTTTCATATTACTTTTTATGTTGTTGTTTTTTTGTGGGGGTGTTTCTCTCAATTTCTTTCATTTCCCTGTAACATACTGGTCTTTTCTTTTCTACACAAAAGGAAAGCCTCTTCTGGACCATTCCTTTTCTATTTTTCCATTCATGTTTTCTTGCAACCTAAAATTTCCAGACAACTCTTAAATGCTATTCCAAAAACTCAAGGGGACAGAGGGTCAAGCAAGAACCCAACAGAGTATGAGAAACATGACATCAGATTTCTGCATTTGACATAACAGTATGAGTTGAGTGCCCCCTCACCCACTACAACACACCCTCTGGGCATGGGCTGCACAGTAGAAAAAAGGCAAGGAAGCAGCCAGCCACTGGTGTCCTAGCATATAGAAACCCCCCACTCTCTAGCAAGAGCAAGAGAGAAATGCCCCAAGCTCTACCCAACTAACTACACCAACTAACCAACCAGCCTGGTGGCACAGTGGTTAAACTGCAATACTGCAGTCAAGCTTCATCTCACAAAGTAAGTTCTTTCCTGATAGATGCAGGTAGCTGGTTCAAGGTTGATGAGCTGACACAGAAGCAAACAAAACACTCCCCACCAAAAACATCAAAAGATACATCTTTAACAAAATAACAATTTTAAAAAACCAACCAAAGAAACTACCCTCTCCCACACCAGAAAAAAATAGTATGACTGAAGTATGATTCAATTGCCAGTCCTGTTGGCTTCTATTGTCTCCTGCCTTTGGGCAAATTATCTTTTGGCCAACCCCCACTATACATTGTTGGCAGAGGTCTTTGTGAGAAACATGCATCTTGTGAAATAAAAACAATGAAATAGAAAAATAGAAAGAACATGTGTGTCTTTGTGTGAGAGACAGAGAAAATTTAAAAGTGACAACACAGTGTATCTCTTTTTGTTGTTTTTGCGGTATTTCATAGTCACCATTTATAATCAAGGTTTCTTATACCAAGCAGAGTTACTCGTTTGCCTATCCTGTCCAGAATAAAGAGGCAAGGCACAGGTGATGCGCCGAAAACAAGGGGCACAACTTTATTAAACATTGAACTTGAACCCTCCTATCTCGGAGAGGGGAGAGGGGCCTGCTGTAGTGCAGAATCATGCTTTGGAGCTGGGGGTCCCACCTGACCTCTTCTCCAACTTTAAATGGGTGAGTCCTAAGCTCTGAAGTTGTGCTGTCCTCAAGACAACCTGGCCTCAGCTGGCCAATGATCAGATGACCTCCCCAGTCCACTAGCCTCCCAGGCTCCGGACCCTAGGTTTCCCACAGCCCACGGAGGCCCCCCTGCACATCCTCCTCCTAGCACCATAATCTCTAGATCTGTCTTGCTTCCAAAAACAAATACCTAGAAATACCAGTTTACAAATGATGTTTAAATAGATACCCAGCATCCCAGCTGTTTCTGCCTTATCAAGTTGGTGTATTTTATGAGAATTTGTTGCTGGAAGATTATCCACACAAATTGTATTTCCTTTATAAAAAATGATAAGGATCACAGTTATCAGATGTTACAACTGTCATTTTACATTTTGAGATTCTCTTCCTCTAATGACAGCAGCAGTGAAGATAAGAAAACCCATTACATACTTTGATACACCTGAAAAAAACAGAACTATGGCTGGAAAGGGTGGGAAACCATGTGATGTGCAGGCATGAATTCCACATCACTCTAATACGCAATTTCACCCTGTCTGGATTTGTCTTTGCTTACTTGAAATTGTTATCAGGAATCAATGAGAACATGAGATTGTGGGCAAGAAAATTTAGAATATTTAGAATAATAAGCACGTTACTTGATTAACATATATTTCTTTCTCTTCTTTACAGAAAACAGGCAAAACTTATTCAGGAACAGCTGAAAGAATCACAGAATGGGAAAACCTACAGCCTTAATGCTTCTAGCATGATGGCAAAATCACAAACCAGGGCACAAAGCCGAGTCCAGCTGCAAAATGTAAGTAACTTTGCCAACCTCCATCCTCAATAGTTTGGCTTAATTATTCATATTGATGAATTCAGATTTAAATATATATTCTCTAGAAGAAGTGGTACTGATTTGCACCTGTAGTGCTATGGGACAAAACAAGAGAAGAGAGAGCAATTACAGTTTTCTTGTAGACTCTATTAAAACAGTGTGAAATGGATCTTTATGCTATTCTGTCGTGGTAAACTCCAGCTACTAAGTGCCAGCTACTGATTAGATCTGCAATTTTCTAGGATTTCTCCAGGATTTCTAAGAAATTTGGAAGGTACAGAGCTACGTGTTGCCTTGAGGAGATTGATGTATCAACTCTTATTGAAGCTGAGTGCAAAAAACCCCCTCCGTTTTACGAATGTTTGCTATTGTACTTTGATATCCATGATTCAAAATACCAGGAAATGGTCTGACATTGCCTTGCAATATTGTGCTCACTTTACCAGCACGAAAAATATGCCAGGTTAAACATAGCATAAGCTGACCTGAATGTTGACAAACCAATGTCATCAGTCAGGATGGTCTACAAGATCCCCTCATGTACTTACTACCATTCAGAGCACCAAGCAACAAAAATACCATAACCTTCTTTAAAAATAAATAAATAAATAAAAATCTGTTAACCTCTTCTCACCCAAATAGTGAGAAGACCTACTGGGATATGCCACAGTTTCACGTTTGTTTTTTTTTTGTTTTTTTTGGTGAAGGCAATGCTCTAGATCGGAGACACCCAACTTTAAATCACTATTTACAAGTGTACCTCACTGGTTGACATTGAGTCAGTCACTTTTTTCAAGACTCACCTACCTGACAGAACATATGTAAGGGAAAAAATGGGCAAGAGAACCATTGACACTGTCTTCAGCTACTTTGAGGAGTGGAAAATTACACATTAATATCTGTCTACCTACCTGCCTACCTACCTACCTACCTACCTACCTACCTACCTACCTACCTACCTACCTACCTACCTACCTACCTACCTACCTACCTACCTACCGTGTTTCTCCGATAATAAGACCTATCCCGAAAATAAGCCCTCCCCTTACTGTGTAACATTCCTCTAAAATAAGCCCTCCCCCGAAACACTGAATTGCTTTGAAAACCGGTCAATGCGTTCCAGTGGGGGAAATACCTGCTCATTCAGTGAAGATCCTCCATAGGGGAAGAGATTTTGCATCGCTGCCTTCCAGAAATAGATCTGGAAAACAGCGGGGAGCCATTTTGAAAACCCAACAATTAGCTGTTTTTAATCGTCGTGAAGTGAAAAATCGGTTCCCAAAGCAGGGAACTGATAGTTGTAAAACAAAAAAAAAATACATTGGAATCATTGTTTTGCGATCGCTATAGTGATTGCAAAAAAACTCATCATCAAGCGATTTCATCGTCTAACAGGGTAATCGTCAAGCAGGGCACCACTGTATGTACGTACATACGTACCTACCTGCCTGCCTGCCTGCCTGCCTGCCTACCTACCTACCATATACAACTTGCCACCAGAAAAAACTGTTAGACCAATACCAATGTCTTTCACTTTGGTCCCTAAAGATATTTTTCCTCATTAGCTTACTCGATAGCTCTGTGGTTTTGGCATCTAGCTGCAGAGCCAGAGGTTGGGAGTTCAATTCCTGACTGTGCCTCCTGAGGGATGAGCCATCCTGTGTGGTCTTGGCCAAGCTGCACTATCGTGGGAGGTTCCCAGAAAAAGGAAATGGTAAACTAGTTATGTGTATCTTGTGCCTAGAAAACCCTGGAAAAGGTTGCAGGAGTCAGAATTGATTTGACAGCACATTCTTCTTCTTCTTCTTCTTCTTCTTCTTCTTCTTCTTCTTCTTCTTCTTCTTCTTCTTCTTCTTCTTCTTCTTCTTCTTCTGAGGAGATGGAGGTTGGGTGTTCAATTCCTCTCTGTGCCTCCTGCAAGTAGAGCCAGCCTGTGTGGCCCTGGGCAAGCTTCTTCTTCTCCTTCTTCTCCTTCTTCTCCTTCTTCTTCTCCTCCTCCTCCTCCTCCTCCTCCTCCTCCTCCTCCTCCTCCTCCTCTCTGCTTATGCTCTTTTAATGCTTGGGTAGATGCATGGTCCTCAACCAAAGCAGTAAGGAGAAAGAAATATTGATGGATTAGGGGTGGGGGGTGGAATCTGCTTAACATTGTGACTAAGGCAATGTCATGACTTTAGAAAACCAAACTCCAAATGCTTCAATGCATGCTGTTGTTTATGCCTGTTAGAATTGTGGCTGTTGCTTTTGTGAACAGATGTATGAGGGAATAAGGCCCATAAACAGGAATTCATCTCACTGTTTGCTATGCTCCATTTTACTAGAGCTGATAGTCCAGTTTCTCTGTCTTCTCCCTTCACCAAGAGACAAGATTAATGGGATGCATTCATTATGCATTGCAATTGACTCTTTCATAATTGAAGGTTGTGTACTACTTGAAGGTTACTTTGCATAATAGCAAAGGCTGCACTTTTGGCAGGTATTACAAGACAAGAGCAACTTTTTCCTGGCCAGTTGTTCTCCCTGCAAACCAAAAGTGGTTACAACTACACAGTAAATTGAAACTGCTTTTAAACAGAATGAACAAGACATACCATATTTCTCACTCCATAAGATGCACTCCCCCCCAAAAAGTGTGTGTGTGTGTGCATCTTATGGAGTGAATACTGTAAAAAATGGTGCAGACCCCCCCCCAGAGCCCATGCCGCTGTACTCCTCCTCTTCCGTCGACCCCCTGCTCCAGGTTTCTCTTGTCTCTCTGCGTCCCCCTCACTAGGCCAGGACCTGAACATCAGAGAGGTGCCTGCCGCAGCCCCACGCTGCTGCCACCAGCAGCAACAGAATGCAATGTGAGGGGAGACTCAAAATGGGGGAGTGCAAAAAGCTCCTTCTCCTCCTCCTCCTCCCCTCCGTAGCTTTCCTCTCTTCTGCTCATTCGTCTCAGCTTTCTTCTCGCCCTCGCCTTGCTTTTTGCTCTGCCAGCCCTTCCTTTGCTCACACTTCCCCCTTCCTTCCTCTCCCCTTCCCACCTCCCTCCTTTCTCTCTCTCTCTCTCTCTCTCTCTCTCTCTCTCTCTCTCTCTTCTGTCTCTCATGATGCCCGTCAGGGACTGGCTGAGGTGTCTCTTCTGCACTCCCCCTAAAATAAGGGTGTGTGTGTGTGTGTGAGAGAGAGAGAGAGAGAGAGAGAGAGCGAGAGCAAGAGAGAGAGCGAGCCAGGTAATGATAAATGAGAGTGGGGAGCCCACGACTACTACTTGGGCTGTGGTTCCCGCTGCTACTCAGGCCACGGGGGAGACGCCGCAGCGCCACCCAGACAACCAGGGATGACAGAAGTTTTTTTCCTGTTTTCCTCCCTCTAAAATTAGGTGTGTCTTATGGTCAGGTGCATTGTATGGAACGAAAAATACGGTAGTTAAGGCATTCTGATGCCTCCATGGCAGTAAAATATTGGTTCTTAATACTATCATTATCAGTACAGTACTATTGCCACACTGCTACAAGCAGTAGTTGCCATCTGGATGACTGCAATCACCATTATCACCATCATCATTGTTGTAATATAATATACAATGTCCTGGCTTTTAGGAGTATGCCTCAACGATTATGCTGCTTCTGCTATTCCTTTACCCACTAACCATTGTAACTGTTTACAGAACAAAGCTTCAAAGAAAAATAACTATCAAACAGGGATCTTAAGTCATTACTAGCTGTGAAATGTCACAAGGAGTCTCACAATTAGCAACTTGTGTCTACTAATCAACCACTGTCTTTATTTTGGGGCCATATAGATATATTTGCTATGTATTCTCACTCTTATGTCTGAGGAAATAGACTTGATCCACGAGAGCTCACATTAAAATGTAGCAGTTAGTCTTTAAAGTGCCACAATGTTTTTGTCTTTATTATTACTTTTTTTGCTTTTGTTTTGTTTCTTGTTTGATATGCTTGCACAGACTAACATGGCTACTACTTCAAAAATTACAATTACTCTGGAGAAATCAGAGTAATCCCACCTCCCATACACATGAACACACATATTCTTTCACTCTTAATTTGAATTCTGCCGAACATTGAGTTTTGGCAGATGGGTTATGCAATACGTGTGGCAAAAATATATTCTTACTTCTTCTGTACCAAATGTAGCCTTTCTTTTGCATCCTTTTCAAGAGAACATGGTATGTAAATGTACACAAATGACTATAATCCCGGTTCTTCCTTTTGTAGTCTGTTAAAATGCATGACAAATTTGCTTTTCACTTCAGCTAGCCTCATTTATGTTTTCAGCTGTTTGCATAACTGCAATTAAAATACAATGCAGCCTTTCTACTCCTCTCTTCTCTCTCTCTCTCTCACCTCTGTGCCAACTAAAGCTTCAACAGCTTGAACATAAAAACCACTTGCAAGGTTAAAGCCATGAATGTTTGCTTTCAGGGTATTTGTAATGCAACACTTCTTACCGCCTTTTAAATTTCACATTTTCTAGTTTGGATTAGGAGTGTACATGACTGCTTATCTCCTCCCTGCTACGTAGTTAGGATAAGGAACCACAAAAATATTGTCCTCCCCCTGTGGGAAGAGAGATTTTGTAGGCTATGTTTTGGCTAAAATCCATTAGTCAATCGCAGCTGGAGTTGGCTATTGAATCAACTGGGTTTTGCAAATCAACACACCTGCAGGTTCCATGGATTCAATTGGCCTATTCTAATTGTGTCTTGCTGCTGAATTTCAGCCTTTGTGGAACTCTGAGTAAGAGAAGAGAACAAGAAGTATACCTCACCTTCAGCAAAAGTGCATAGACAACACTGACAAAAATAGAGCAAATAATGCATTAATGTAGACTTTGGTCTAGATGGGTGGGGTATAAATTAAATTAAAAAAATAAAAAAATAAGGTACACTGCGTTAAATAAATAAATAAATAAATAAATAAATAAATAAATAAATAAATAAATAAATAAATAAATAAATAAATAAATAAAGTACA